AAAATAAAATAAATAAATAAATAAATAAAATGTACCCCATAAGTTGTAATCCTGCCTGTTTAGGGTCCCCCCTGCAGCCTTCCATGACCGCCCTGGTGGCCCTGGCATGTCCCAGACCTGAACTCACCCAGATCCTCTGCGGGAGACCCAACGTCAGCTAGAACTGAAAAGGCACAAAACAACAGGTGTGAGGAGGGCTCCACTGCAGGGTGGGAGAGGAGAGCGGGGAGACCCGGCAAGGTCAACGCTGTGCCTGGGTTCGCGCATTCTAACCACAGGAGCAGAATTCATACTGGCCAAATGACAGTCCTGCCGACATCACATTAATCCTGGAAGCTGTTATCATGCCCTGGTCTAGCTATCAATACACTTTGTCCCCGTGTTGAGGACAGAAGGCCCCACTGTCACTGAGCAACACTCCCATAGCCCTGTATCTGGAGATAAAAATATAGGATTAATTCATCAGCTGGAATCAATACTATGAATAGTAACAGGAATTGGGAACCAGCAGTTAGCGTAATGGCTATGTCGCTGGATTCCCATGTAGTCGACCACGGTTTGAGTCCTGGACCTGGGGGCTTAAAACTCATGCCGGGCGCGTGTGTGTGCGTGCCCAAGATCCCGAGAGGAGAATGGAGGAGAAGGGATTGCGGCGTGACCATCCCCCCGGGGGGTGATTTCTCTCTTTCTGTCTCTATGTCTCTCTCTGTCTGTCTGGCGAGCGCACACGCCCTATAGCAAAAATCTCTCCAAAAAAAAAAAAAAAAAAAGAATTAACAGGAATCATGCCTTTAAAAAAAAAAAAAACATACTGCAGTTAAAACGAACCTGTTTCATCTGTAGAGGGATCATTCACCAGATCTGCAAAGATACAAAACAGGGAACAAAAAATGAAAGTAGGAAAAGTAGCTAATGGGGCCGGCAGGTGGCGTGGTAGTTGAGGTGCTGCCTCCCACGTGGCTGACCACAGTTCGGGTCCCGGACCTAGCGGCTTGCTTTCTCACTTTCCCTCTCTCTCTCTGGCTCTCTCTAGTGAACACACATGCCCTATAGGATTTTTTTTTAATTCTTATTTATTATTTTCAAGTTTGATCAGAGAGAGATAGAGAGTGAAAAGAGGAAAATGAGAAAGCAAGCCACCAGGACCAGGACCTGAACCATGGTCGGCCATGTGGGACTTCAACACCTTTAACCACCACACCACCTTCCAGCCCCCATGACAAGTTTTAAAACAATAAGAGTAAATAAAATTAACGAGACCAGCAGATGGTGTAATGGTTATGTTGTTGGACTTCCACATAGTCGACTGCAGTTTGAGTTCCAGACCCAGTGACTTAAAACTCACACCGGGCGTGTGTGCTTGCGTGCCCAAGGTCCCAAGAGGAGAATGGAGAAGGGACCGCGGCGTGGCCATACCCCAGGGAGTGATTTCTCGCTTTCTGTCTCTCTGTCTCTGTTTCTCCAGCACATGCCCCATAGCAAAAATCTCTCTTAAAAACCAAAAACAAAAACAAACAAACAAAAAACAAACAAACAAAATATCTAAGTAATTCTTTAAAAACAAAAACGTAAGTAGCTGAGGGAAGCAGGGTAAGGGAATGATTATCTTTGTTTTTTTAGAGGTTTTTGCTGTAAGACACGTGCACTAGCCAGAAAGACAGAGAGAGACAGAGAGACAGAAAGCGAGAAATCACCCCCCAGGGGGGATGGCCACGCCGCAATCCCTTCTCCTCCAGTCTCCTCTTGGGATCTTGGGCACGCACGCACATGCGCCTGGCGTGTTTTAAGTTACCGGGTCTGGTACTCGAACCACAGTTGCCTACATGGGAGTCCAGCGACGTAACCATTACGTCAACTGCTAGTCCCGATAGGGGAATGATGACCTAACAGAGGACAAGTGACCAGCCATGGCACACATCAGAGCCATGGTGCTCCACAATGCTCAAGCCGTGTGGGAAGGGGCTGGGTTTGCGTCCAGAAGTATCTGTGTGGGACCAGCAGGTGGTGTGCAGGTTAAGGTGGCTGGATCCCATATGGCTGACTGTGCCGTGGGAGTCCCGGATCCCTCAGCTTGAAAATCATGCCAGGCCCATGTGTGTGCATGCCCAAAATCCCAGGAGGAGAATGGAGAAGGGACTGCAGCATGACACGGAGAGTTCTCACTTTCCCTCTCTGCCTCTCTCTGGCAAGCACATTTACCCTACAGCAAAACAAAAACAAAAACAAATAAACAAACCCAACACACACAGAAACCAGGGACCAGCAGATGACATAATGGTTATGTCTCTGGACTCCCACGTAGTTGACTGCGGTTTAAGTCCCACACCCGGTGGCTTAAACTCACGCCGGGTGCGTGTCCATGCGTGCTCAAGGTCCCAAGAGAAAGATAGAGGAGAAGGGATTGCGGCATGGCCATGCCCCCTGTCTCTCCAGTTAGCACATGCACCCTGGAGCAAGAATTTCTCTACATGAACCATCCCTGTGCACAACTGTGATCTGTACTGGCCGAGGCTCGGGCAAACCATGGCGTTAGGACCCTTCCGGAATGCTCGCTCTCTCTGTCATGGAAGAAGTCCCAAGAGAAAGATAGAGGAGAAGGGATTGCGGCATGGCCATGCCCCCTGTCTCTCCAGTTAGCACATGCACCCTGGAGCAAGAATTTCTCTACATGAACCATCCCTGTGCACAACTGTGATCTGTACTGGCCGAGGCTCGGGCAAACCATGGCGTTAGGACCCTTCCGGAATGCTCGCTCTCTCTGTCATGGAAGAAGTAAATGAATGAACTTAAAAAAATAAAGAAAGGAAGGAAGGTCCAGAGGTGGTGTGGTGATTAAGACACTGGACTCCCACAGGGTCGACCGACCACAGTTTGAGTCCCGGACCTGGCCTCTTGCTTTCTCATTCCCCACCTCTGTCTCACTCTGTGTCTCTCTCTGCTCAAATTGAATAATAACAATAATAAATAAAACTAATTAAATAAATAAATACTTTGTGAAAGACAAGAAAGAGTAAAGAAAAAGCACGTGGGGACCAGCAGGTGGTGTGGTGGCTAGGGCACATGGCCGACCATGGTTCGGGTCCTGGACCTGGTGGCTTGCTTTCTCGCTTTTCCTCTCTCTCACTCTGTCTCTGGTCAAATTAAAATAAATGAACGAATGAATGAATACAATTAAATAAATCATTATTTTTTAAAAAGCATGTGGACTCTTAGACAAATATAAAGGACTATCATAGAAAGAAATGGACTAGATTGGGCACGTCAACAGCTACGAAGCGTCTTAGATAGACAATGGGTTCCGCATGAGCTCAGAGTGCCCGGCGATCTTTTTCCAGTCTTTATTTTTCTTTGCGCAAACATCACCTCAACTCCTCGATCCCCAATATGACAGCAAAGAGTTACCTACTAGGGTCATCTGTGAATGTTTCTGGAGTCGTTCGAGTCACATCATCTGAAAAAAAATCATAAAACATTGAGCATTTTCTGCCTCCCTCTCACCCTTGTACTCTTTATTTTTTAGACAGAAAGTGAGAAATCACCCTCCACAGAGAATGGCCACGCCACAATCCCTTCTCCTCCATTCTCCTCTCGGGATCTTCAGCATGCACACACATGCGCCGGGCGTGAGTTTTAACCTGCCAGGTCCAAGACTTGAACCGCAGTCAACTAGGTGGGAGTCCAGCGATGTAACCATTATGCTATCTGCTGATTCTCACCCTTGTATTCTTGAGAAGTAAAATTGTCTAGTCTGCTGCCCACGTAGGTACGTCTCTCACAGCTGTTTTCCCTTACCTGTCTACAATAATTAAAATGGATGGCTCTATATCAAAAATATCGTAACTTTGTCCTTTATAATTCTGATGTAATTGGCTATGAATTTGCTAGCATGTCTATATATATAGAATGTTCACAATGAGGTCAGCAGATGGTATGGTGATTAAGGACACTGGACCCCGCATGGCTAACAGCAGTTCGAGTCCCAGACCAGGTGGTTTGCTTTTCCCTCTCCCTCTTTCTCTCTTGCTCGGTCTCTCTTGGTCAAAGTTAAATAAATAAATAAATAAATAAATTTAAATAAAAGAACTTTTAAAAAAAAAAGAATATGTTCACAAAAGATTGTGTTGACGGTTTTCTGACATTCAATGAGAGGTGAGGTGAAGGGAGGTGAGAGGAAGTGACAATATCAGCAAAGAATGCCATTTTGAATTAAACTAAATGAATGAGGAAATCAAATTAAATAAATCATTTTTCAAGAAAGACAACTTAAAAGAATTTACAAAATGGTACCAGCAGGTGGTGTGGGCGGTAAGGCTCTGGACACTCCCACATGGCTGATCACAGTTTGAGTCCTGGAACTGGTGCCTTGCTTTCTCACTTTCTTTCTCTCTCTCTCTCTGTAGTCAAAATAAATAAAAATAAAATAATAAATAAAAATAAATAAGTAAATGAATAATTCTTTTTGGAGAGATTTTTGCTATAGGGCATGTGTGCTTGCGAGAAAGAGAGACAGAAAGTGAGAAATCACCCCCCAGGGGGGATGGCCACACCGCAATCCCTTCTCCTCCATTCTCCTCTCGGGATCTTGGGCACACACATGCGCCCAGCATGAGTTTAAGCCACCCGGTCCAGGACTCGAACCATGATCGACTACATGGGAGTCCAGAGACAGCCATTATGCCAACTGCTGGTCCCTGAATAAATAAAATTAAATAAATAAAAAAAATTTTGAGAGGTTTCTGCTATAGGGCATGTGCACTCGCCAGGAAGAGAGACAGAAAGACAGAAAGTGAGAAATCACCCCCCAAGAGGAATGGTCATGCCTCAATCCCTTCTCCATTCTCCTCTCGGGATCTTGGGCACACACGCACATGTGCCCTGCATGAGTTTAAGCCACCGGGTTTAGGACGTGAACCGTGGTCAACTACATGGGAGTCCAGCGACATAGCCATTACGCCAACTGCTAGTCCCTAAATTTATGTATATATTTAAGGTGTACAACATGATTCTTTGATATATATCTGTATGTGTATGTATATATGTATATATATACACACATATGCATGCGCACACACATACACACATGGTGAAATGATTACTGTAATCAAGCAGTCGTACAAATGAATATATACATAATTACCTTTGTGTATGTGTGTGTAATAAGAGCCCCTGAAATCTATTCCCTTAACACATAACTTTTAAAGCTTTTTTGATTTTATTTTTACTCTAGGGCATGTGTGCTCACTGGAGAGAGACAGAGAGAGGGACAGCGAGAAATCATCCCTCAGAGGCCTTCTCCTTTATTCTCCTCCTAGGATCGTGGGTGCGCACGCACACGGGTTTGGAACTCCAGCCACACAGTTGGCCTTGTGGGATCCAGCACCTTAACTGTCATGCCACCTGCTGGCCCAGCAGGTTAACATTTCAGTATTCAGCAAATATTTCATCTGTAATTCTTGCTGTGTAAAGTGCTTTTACCCCATTTTCCCACTAGGTGGCAGCAAATTCACATAGTTGGCTTTGATTTTTTTTTCCCACTGCGGACTAAATGCTAGATTTAAAACCCTGTGAGAATAAACATTTGTATAAAGTGTCTCACAGTTATCAGTAATAGTAGGACAGATGAAACCCAAAGTATTTTGTGGGAATGTCAACTGCTTACCTCATTGGTTTCTCTTTTTTTTTCCTTTCTTTTCTTTTCTTTTTTGAGAGGTTTTTGCTATAAGGCATGTGCGCTCGCCAGAAAGACAGAAAGAGTGAGAAATCACCCCCTAGGGAGGATGGTCACGCTGCAATCCCTTCTCCTCCATTCTCCTCTCAGGATCTTGGGCACGCACACACACGCGCTCAGCCTGAGTTTAAGGCACCGGCTCTGGGACTCGAACCACGGTCGTCTACATGGGAGTCCAGTGACATAGCCATTACGCCAACTGCTGGTCTCTACTTCATCATTTTCTAAATTCCAGATAGCAATTCACCAGGTATGACAAAAGAGCCTCCTTAACACTCATTATAAAATGTCTTTTTTCAGGACAATTTTTGATAAATAAAAGAAATTCAAGTCTTGGGACCAGCAGTTGGCATAATGGCTATGTCGCTGGACTCCCACGTAGTCGACCGCGGTTCGAGTCCCGGACCTGGTGGCTTAAACTCACACTGGGCGCGGGTGCGTGCGTGCCCAAGATCCAGAGAGGAGAATGGAGGAGAAGGGATTGCGGCGTGACCATCCCCCCGGGGGGTGATTTCCTGCTTTCTGTCTCTCTGTCTCTCTCTGTCTGTCTGGCGAGCGCACGCACCCTATAGCAAAAACCTCTCAAAAAAAAAAAAGAAAGAAAAAAAGAAATTCAAGTCTGCTCCAATCCTGTAAGATATTTGAAAACCCACTGACCTGAGTCATCCTGAAGGCTAATGAGAGGGGCAGGGCCCAGCCAGGGAGTAGCCCAGCCCTGCCCAGTTGCCTTCCTCAGAGACAGAGCTACATTCCAGTCCAGCCACTCACAGAGAGCAGGGGGTCTGCGAGTCACCCCAGCCCTCCCTATGGGAGTTCTGGGTAGGGCACTGCTTTTCTGTACATATCCTGGTTTAATCAACATTTCCATTAGCTTCTACAGCATAGATGACTTATCTAGGGTTCATGAAGCCCTCTGAAAAGAAACCTTAAGGCATTTAAAATTTTAAGTTAATATATTTATTTATTTATTGCCAGAAGGCACATGCATTCTCACAGAAACAAAGAGAGTGAGGGAAATAGAGAAAACGCCACCCCAGTGGAAGATGGTCGCTCCACAATCCCTTCTCGATCTCTCCCTCCTTTTGAGATTTTGGGCATGCATGCACACATGCCTGGTATGTTCTTCTATTTTTTTTTTTTTCTTAGAGAGATTTTTTGCTGTAGATACTAGGTGCTCTCTGGAAAAGAGAGAAAACACACACACACACACACACACACACACACACACACACACCAGAGGGATAGCCATGCTGCAATCCCTTCTCCTCATTCTCCTCTTGGGATTTTGAGCACATGCACACACACCTGGCCTGAGTTTCAAGCTGCTGGGTCCAGGACTTGAACCACAGTTGGCTATGTAGGAGTCCAGCGACATAATCATTATGCCATCAGCTGGTCCCACCCAGCTGACGTATGTTTTTCAAGCTCCCAAGGCTAGGATTCGGCCGGCTGTGTGGGATCTGACCAAATGGTTTCCTTAAACACTAGGCCACAGGGCTGGCCCAAGACATCTTCATCATAACTCAGTATTTCTGCTAGAAAAGCATCTATTTTAAGTTTTTATTTGTTGGTTTGTTTGCTTTAGGACACTGTGCTCCCTAGAGAGAGAGAGAGATGTAGAAAGGGAGAGAGATGAGGAAAGTGAGAAATCACCCTTCAGAGTGGATGGTCACACCACAATCCTTCCTTCATTCTCCTTTTGCGATTTTGGGGTACACGTGCACACGCACCTGGTGTGATTTTCAAGCCCATGGGTCCAGGACTCAAAGCCTGCAGCTGGAGATGTGAAACTCAGCAACGTACCACCCACCACCTGCTGGCCCCAAAACAGTCGTAAAGTCATAAAACCGGACTGGTCCTTAACCAGTCCACAGAAATCAATGTAGAGATTTAGTTTTGCTACTCTTGAAATCCGATCTAGGTTCAGAAACTCAAAGATTTAGAGATTTTGCTAAGAATAAAGAAAGTTTTTATTTCTATATTTTTATTATCTGTACCAGGAGTCACAGCAAGAAATGCATTGTGTAAGAATATACACATATAGGGGCTGGCAGGTGGCGTGGTGGATAAGGGTGCTGGATTCCCACATGGCCGACCATGGTTCGAGTCCCAGACCTAGTGGCTTTCTTTCCCTTTCTCTCTCTCTCTGTCTCTGTCTGATCAAATTAAAAAATAGTAACAAATGAAATTAAATAAATAAATAATTCTTAAAAATAAAAAGAAAGAAAGAAAAATGAATATACACATATGGGGCTGGAATATGGCATAACGGTTACGTCACTGGACTCCCACATAGTCGACTACAGTTCAAGTCTCAGACCCTGTGACTTAAAACTCACGCAATACTCATATGTGTGCATGCCCAAGATTCCGAGAGGACAAGGGCGGAAAAGGGGTCGTGTGGACATCCCCCCAGGAGATGATTTCTTGCTTTCCGTCTCTCTAGTGAGTGCACACGCCCTATAGCAAAAATCTCTCTCTCAAAAAAAAAATATATACACATACGTAAAACTGAAACAGATTTTAGAAACCAATACTTTACCCTTACGAAACACGTGCGTTGCACTTTGATGTATTTAGTCTCTCTCTATGTTCATTTAAAAAGACCAGCAGGGGACCAGCCGGTGGCATAGTGGTTAAGGCACTGGACTCCCATACGACTGACTACAGTTTGAGTCCTGAACCTGGCAGCTTGAGACTCATGCCAAGCACGTGTGTGTGTGTGTGTGTGTGTGTGTGCCCAAAACCCCAAGAGGAGAATGGAGGAGAAGGGACTGTGGCACGGCCATACTCCCTGGGGGGTGATTTCTCACCTTCTCTCTCTCTCTGTCTCTCTGTGTCTCTGACAAGCGCACATGCCCTATAGCAAAATATCTCTTTAAAAACAATCAGTTGCTGGGGTTGGCAGGTGGTAGCGGTATTAAGGTGCTGGACGAAATATGGGGACCAGCAGGTGGCATGGTGGTTAGGACGCTGGACTCCCCCATGGCGGATAGCAGTCCAAGTCCTAGACCTGGTGACTTGCTTTCTCACTTTTCTTCTCTCTCTCTTTGTCTCTCTGGTCAAATTTTAAAATAATAAGAATAACTAAAATTAAAGAAATACTTCTTTATAAAGAAATAAGTAAAACTATCAGTTGTGACTTACTAAATTGACTTTTTATTAAGAATGATTTTATTTAACTTTATCCATTTATTTATTTATCTTAACTTGACCAGAGAGGGATAGAATTAGAGAGAGAGAATGAGAGAAAGTGAGAAAGCAAGCTGCCAGGTCTAGGACTTGAACCACAGTCGGCCACGTAGTAGTCCACCACACTTAACTGCCATGTCACCTGCTGGCCCCTACTAAATTGACTTTAATAACTGGCCAGCAGGGTGCACAGGGCAGAGCTCTGCTGAATCTGCTGGCTGACAGAGGCTGGTGGAGATCAGTTATATTCCGTTCAGTGCCTCGGGGAAGGGTGGAGTTTCCTTCAACAAGCTGAAGGGGAAGTGGTCCTTCAGGAGCCAAGACCTTTGGGCTCTGTCCAGCCCTGCCACTATCTCGCTGTAGCACTGACAGGACCGCTCCCGCCATCTTTGCATTTTAGCACTGCTCCATGGATACTAAAAGCCCCGTGTGGATTAGTGAGTTTCTGAGCGAGAAAAGAGATGCACAGAGGAGAGTGGAATCAAGGGACGGCACAGAGGAGGTCTTAGAGGACGCGCCTTAGCAGTGAAAGCAGAAAGGCAGGAAGGCGTAAGGATGAGAGGATCGGGGTGTGGAAACTGGAGGCGCACATCCTGTTCCCCAAACCTTCCCCGGGTACCTCTCCGCGTTAGGACTGACTCTAGCCCTGTTTGCCTATGTGATCCCGCTAAGAACGGTGACAAAGCCCTTACCCAGGGTTCCACCTACCTCCTCGCTGACCGCGGACCCCCAGGGGTGTCCAGTCTGTAAGGAAGGAAGGAGAAAGGGGTGTGAGTGACGGCTTTCCATCCCCAGCCCTTATGTGGGGATGGCGGTCCTGCTCTCCCTGCCTCCTTCCTAGGTAGGCCAGGCGAGTTAAACCGACCGCCAGTGCCACGTGCAGTCTGATGGGCACACAGACTCGGGAGACCAGGCCCCAGAGCAAAGCCCTGCCCCAGCCGACGCAGGGGCCTCGGCTCGCATCTGCACCAGAACGCTCCACACAGGGGCCCAGCCGCCTCCCAGCGCCCCCTGCCTTCTGTCCCCACCGTCTTCCCACCAGGACATTCCTGAGCTGGCAGATTTTCACGGTCTGCATCTGGCAGAAACAGGACCAAAACAGAGTGGAACTTCTTTAAAGTGCCAGGGACGCTCTCTGTGCACCTTCTAGCTGGATTCTGTGACGTCGGCGAAGATCCACTCTCCCGTGTGTAAGCATGGTGTATGTTTTCACATGTCTACACGTGGACTTGCGAGTATGCCAGTGCTGGTGTTACATGTTTCTGCTGTTTCAGTGTACATGTTTCTGCTGTTTTTTTTTTTTTTCTTCACAGGGCGCGTGTGCTCACCAGAGAGATAGAAAGTGAGAAATCAACCCCGAGAGGGGATGGCCATGCCACAATCCCTTCTCCTCCATTCTCCTCTCGGGATCTTGGGCATGCACGCACACGTGCCCAGTGTGAGTTGAAGTCGCTGGGTCTGGGTCTTGAACCATGGATGACTATGTGGGAGTCCAGTGACATAACCATTACGCCTTCTGCTGGCCCCGTATGTCTGCTATTTCTCTCAGGATTTGTGAATGTGGTGCAGTTTCTGGTCAGGTAGCCCCTCTGTGTATCGTTTGTGATTAGGGCCTTTTCCTTCGTGTTTGCTCACACGTGTGTTTCTGTGCGTGACCCTCTTTGGCGGTCCCCGTGCATTTCTGTGTGTCTGAGTTTCACCTCAGTTTCATCATTCTCAAGGTACTTTTCCCGAGTGGGAAGTCATCTGTACTCACATTCCTGCCCTTTTTTTCCCTGACACCAGAGCTGTTCTTTTTTTTTTTTTCTAGTAGCATTTCTTTCTTTCTTTTCTTTTTTTAAATTTTTTTTTTAAGAGAGGTTTTTGCTAGAGAACACGTGGGCTCATCAGAAAGACAGAGAGACAGAAAGCGAGAAGTCACCCCCCAGGGGGGATGGCCATGCCGCAATCCCTTCTCCATTCTCCTCTAGCTCTTGGGCATGCACACACATGTGCCTGGCATGAGTTTAAGCCACCAGGTCCGGGACTCGAACCACAGTTGACTACATGGGACTCCAGCGACAGAGCCATTACGCCAACTGCTGGTCCGTCTAGTAGCATTTCCAAAACTCAACGGCAAGAATCTCTCCTTCCATGCCTCATCAACCGTGCCCCATTGCACTTCTAACACACTCCCCCTACACACAGAGGAGCTGGGAGCTGGGGAGAAAAGAAGACAGGCACTCACCAGAGGGCACGACCAGCGCGGTGAGGAGCAGCAGCGCCTTGGGTCCCACGAGCAGCATGTCTCCTGGGGCGGCGGAGAGTGGAGGACGGAAGCGCTCAGAGACGGGGCAGCGGTCAGTGCTGGGAAAAGGCCCCTGCAGCCCCGGCTCGCTGCCTACCCAGGAGCCTCCTTGGCGTCCCCTGATGACTCCATGCGCTCTCTCTTCCATCTAACATGTATTGCTCTCTCAAATCAACTCTCCCATCACCACTAGTCTTGTTACTCCTTCCTACCAAGTCAGAGGAACCCTTGCGCTGCCAGTGGCCCATACTCGGCCCTCGCTGTGTCCTCTTGCACCTCTAAGGTCTGATCTTCCTTTTTTATATCACCTACTCATCTTGGCGTCTTTCCCGTTGGAATTCCACGGACAACTGGGAATCCGTTCAATGACAGATTCAGTAACAGTCCCCATTGTTCTCCAGCTCTGTGATACACACACAGAAATCTGCATGCACACGCGTACATCTGTACACACGCATTTCTGTGCACGCACAATACACATGCCTGCATGCAAACACACATCTGTGGGCACACACACAGACTTTATGTGCACATGCATACACAGAACGTTGGCGTGCACACACACACACACACAGAACCCCGTGCGCACCCACATACACACACACTTGTGGGCACACCCCCTCTGCTCAGGGTTCCGTGTGCTCCAACGACTCACCGTGGTGCTCTTCTCTTCCCCGAGCCGCGGGCTGCTGCCGTGTCTCTCTCCTCCTCACACTGTTCCCACTTTGGCTGGAGGACAAGACGAACAGAGCCACTCCCTGGGAAGGACTTCGGATTTGGCCTACTCTGGAACAATGAGATGAGGGAGAGCAAGAGAGAGGGAGAGAGAGAGAGAGAGAGGCGTAGACGGCGACGAGACGAGGCTGGAATGAGAAGGGAGACGGGAATCTGCAGGCACTCACGCCCTCATTCCAAAGGTTAGGACCACACTGGGCAGAGAACGCGCGCTCCGGGAAGGGCTGGCCCGCGCGCACATGGCTGTCTCCCATCTCCCGTGCTCCTCTCACCAGCCATCCCCAGCCTTCGAGTCTGGCCTGGGTTCCCAGGTAGCTCCGTCTCACCCGTGCAGTCTTTATCTGCGCGCTCCCAGACTCTGCTTCTAGCTCTGTCTTCCATCTTTGAATCATTTTTCTGTCCGTTTGCTATTGCACTCACCAGAGAGAGACAGAGAAAGAGGGAAAGTGCTGGGACCAGCAGTTGGTGTAATGGCTATGTGGCTGGGCTCCCACATAGTCGACCGCGGTTCGAGTCCCAGACCCGGTGGCTTAAACTCACACTGGGCGCATGTGTATGCGTGCCCAAGATCCTGAGAGGAGAATGGAGGAGAAGGGATTGTGGCCGTGGCCATCCCCCGGGGGGTGATTTCTCACTTTCTGTCTCTCTGTCTCTCTGCTCTTTGGGGCAGCGCCCATCCCCAAAACCAAAAAAATTCCCAAAAAAAAAAAAAAAAAAAAAAAGAAAAGAAAAAGAAAGAAGAGGGAAAGTGCTAAAGCATCCCCCAGGGAAGATGGCCACACCGTCATCCCTCCTCCTCCCTCCTCCTCTGGGGATTTAGGGCTGGCATGCACACATACCTGGAATGTTCTTCAAGCCTTAAGGGCTGGACTCGAACTGCACCATTGACCATGTGGGATCCAGAACCTTAACCACTACACGCCCTGCTGGCCCCCATGCTCCTTTTTTACTTTCAATCTTTTTCAATATTCACTTCTTCAACACTGAACAAATTCCTTTGTATACTTGCATTTCTTTTTCTTTGCCATTGTCTTATTTTTTTTAAAGAATTATTTATTAATTTTATTTATTCACTCATTTATTTTAATTCAACCAGTGAGAGAGAGTGAGGAAGTGAGAAAGCAAGCCACCAGATCCGGGACTTGAACCGTGGTCCACCATCTTTGCCTCTTTCTTCATCCATATATTCAGTCTCTTCGTGTTCCCTCTCCCTGGGATATTTCCCCTAGGGATATATCTTATTTATTCTTATTATTTATTCTCACATTGCCGCATGAATTTGTCCAAGAGGAAGGTGGACTCTCATAAGGTTCGTAAAAGTTGAGGAGTTCAGAACTCTCCGTGTCAGTCTTCTTTTCTTAGAATTATTTGTTCATTTAATTCCATTCATCATTATTTCTTTAATTTGACCAGAGAAGACAAAGAGAGAGAGAAAGGGACAGAGAGAAAGCAAGCCACCAGATCCCGGACTCAAACCGCGGTCAGCCACGTGGGAATCCAGTGCCTGTAACCACCATGCCACCTGCCGGCACCATCCAAGGCATTTTTCACATGTGGAGGAGCTTCATGAGAGAAGGTGCTGCCAGTTTTACTCTATTTTTCTTGCTTATGCTAAGAATCCTGGGTTTTGGATTTTTTTCCCCTTAGATTTTTTTTTTTTTAACTGAGAACATTTATTGCCTGACTAATCGTTGAAATCCTTAAGATGAACCGGATGCCGCAACAGCTGCTCTCTTGGGTTTGGGTGTTGTTCCTTCACGGAATCCATGCCCGAATCTGCGGTATGCAACTTTTAGGTGCCTCATTCGACCAGTCCCAGTGGTACTGCGTCTTTTAGCCCTGGCACTCCAGTTAGACTCTCGCTCTGGGCGGGTTAGCCACATCTGCCACAGGTCGACTTCTGAAGGTGACAGGCCTTAGAACCACAGTGGTGGCACAACATGTGTGTCTTACTGTGACGCTTCCCAAACGATGACGTTTCCTTTGTCATCTCGCTCCTGTAGCTCCCCCTTAGATTTTTAACAAGGGCGCATGTGTCCACGGGAGAAAGACAATGAGAGGGAAAGTGAGAAATCGCTTCCTCGGGAGGGACCAGCAGTTAGCGTAATGGCTATGTCACTGGACTCCCACACAGTCGACTGCGGTTCGAGTCCCAGACCCGGTGGCTTAAAACTCATGCTGGGCGCATGTGCGTGCGTGCCCAAGATCCTGAGAGGAGAATGGAGGAGAAGGGATTGCAGCGTGGCCAGCCCCCCTGGGGGGGGATTTCCTGCTTTCTGTCTCTCTGTCTCTCTCTGTCTGGCAAGTGCACGTGCCCTATAGCAAAAACCTCTCAAAAAAAAAAAAAAAAAAAAAAGAATTACGGACCAGAAGACGGAAAGAATAAATGGCCAAAGGGAGCCAGGAGGAAGTGAGTCTAGTTGGGAGGATGGGAGAGCGCTGGAAACAAGCAGGTAGGGACTAGCAGGTGCGTGATGATTCCGTCGCTGGACGTCCACACAGCTGACCTCAGTTTGAGCTCCAGACCTGGAGACTTACTTAAAACTCCTGCCGGGCACATGTGCGTGCCCAAAATCCTGAGAGGAGAATGGAGGAGAAGGGATTGCTGCGTGGCCATCCCCCCTCGAGAGGTGATTTCTGTCTCTCTTGTCTCTCCAGCAAGCACATGGGCCTATAGCAAAAATCTCTTAGAAAGAAAGAAACAAAGAGAAAGAAAAAGAAAGAAACAAACAGCACTTCCTAAGTACCTCCCATACCCCCACGGGAGATGGGAGGTGCGAGTGTTCCGGCTCTGAGATACACGGGTTCTGGTTGGTCCCCAGAATAAATCTGAGTACAAAGCCCAGCTCTTCCTGGTCTGCCTGGCCCAGGACTTGGTCTTTTCCCATCTGCTCACAGTGAGGGGGCAGAGGCTAGAAAGCAGATGTGATTGCAGCCTGGGGACAGTCAGGGGATGGACGGGAGTGGTGAAGAAAGCGAAAAGCAGATGCAAAGCAGAACCGAGGCAGGCCCTAGCCTGGAGAGCTTAGAGAGACATCATGTTTTCCATGGCGCTCAGACAGACGGAGGGGCTGAGCTCAGGCCAGCCCTTTGGCAGGGAGCTCAATGACCTCAGTGTGCTGGCCTACAAGGAGAGGCGATGGCTCAGGAAAGCCTCCCCAGGCAGTAGGAGGGGGCGCTCTCCTGGGGTCGTGGGAGGCCGTGGGAGGCAGTCTGAAGTCAGGGCTGGGAGACTGGGAACAGGATGTTCAGACCAGGCAGGAAGAGGACTGGCAGGGAGCAGCACCTTTGGAGGAAAGGAGAGGAAGCGAGGCAGGAACTGGTGGAGAAACAGAGACAGCCGTATATTGT